ATGTTTGTCATTGCAACTTAAAGCTCCAGTCCGTAACTTTTTTGGGTTAAAAATGATCCAAAATACATTTTTGAGCAAGTACATAACCAACCAGTGTTCAAAACTATCTGCTTGCCTTAGCTCGATTCAAAACTGTAAGCTTGTAATAATGTTTTTAATTCCAGTGGTACTGGTGGATTTCCGTGGGAAATTCGAGCATGTCTTTGCGTCATTACGTCACATATAAAAAAGGTGTATTTGCACATATTTGCACAGTTTGACGTGATATGATTAACGATCGTTAGATTTAATCAGTGCGACTAACTGCAATGCCTTTTTTCAGTTAGTTGGTCAGAAGAACAAAAGTGGATGTTACTTACTTGTTCAGATGACATTTTTGGGTGAAAATTCTTATGTTGGTCATACTTCCAAAAAGTAGAAACTGTGATTCTGAATGACAGTATCCACACCGGTTCGGTGACTGACAGCTGCACATTCTCCTAAAAACATTGGATTCATCCACGCTGTGCCGTGTCGAGGCACAACTCACATAAAGGTGATAATTTCGCGAATGACTGCAATTGCAGATTTCGAACAGAGATGGCGACAAAGAGGAAAAACTGCGTACTGCAGCTTTAAATTACATTAAACTGACTTAAAAATTTGGTGAATCTTGTATAACTTACAAAAACATATGTCGTCATAACTTATTTATCATATAATTTTTTACAATGTAAATATATGGCAATATATGCCAATACTATAAAATCTTTTTATAGTATTGGCATATATTTTACTTTTAAAATATTTTGATAATATAAACAGGTAGTGAGAACAGAAATCCACATGCTAAATTAAAGTTAAAAAAAAAAAAAAAGGCCCCAAAAAACAAAAAGTGTTATACCTCGACTCACAGGTACTTATTTTACTTGATTTTAACTAAATTTGTATTTAGTTATTTATATTATTATATTACATATAAAGAAACCCATAGTTCACATTGCATTCTTGTTCTGATCCTACAGCCAGACATTTCTCTATATTAATGAGTGTTACAATACAGCCATATCTCGCCTCTGTAATTACCTTTCCTTACTGCTCAAGAGAGAGAGGAAGAGCGATTGAAAACAGCTATAGAATGTAATTAAGTGGAACTGACAAATTGAAGTGCACCATGTTAGAATCAGCATAAAAAATAGCTTAAACCAAAACAAGAAACAAGCAGAAAGTAATTTCCTGCTCAATGTGATCACAAATGCATTTTGACAGCTTTTATGTCACGTTTGATGTAATGGGTGACCGTTTCCTTCGTGGTCATTTCACGTTTAATGGGGGGGGGGGGGGGGGGGGGGGGGGGGGTTTGGGGGTCTATCCTTATATCTGACACACACACACATTCACAAACATAGGTTACACACTGCCAAGCCTTCTGGACTCCAGCGGTCCTCGGCCACTCCATGTAATCAAGACGCATCATCTGCTTGATTTTTAGAATGACCTTCTACTACCGCCAGAAGCATCAGAGGCATGAGAGAGACAGAACAGGAGGGCTCCAGTCCAGAAGTCAACTGCCCCCTCAGGTTCCCTTATGCTAGCAGTCAGTCATTTGGTACAGATATAGATGAAGACCCAGCCCATTTCAGCGCTGCGCTCCTTGTGTTCTCTCTTCCGGTTTGTGTTTCCACATCATGCAGGTAAAATCTTACATGTGTAAGTCTGTCTAATTTGATCCAATGGCGGCATTCAAATTAGCGGTGAAGGTCTCACGCAGTGTTCCGTCTCTTCTCATCATGGCAAAGGGATTTTTTAATTAAATGCAATACATTCTATCTTATGTATTAACTCGTTTCATCTGACTCCATAAAATGAAAAAGTTTTTCAATGATATCTGTGCATCATTAAGTATTCGTTAATGTTTGACTATTCCTTTTAACTCCAATGAAAATAAAGTCAAAGTCTGTTAGAATAATCAAATATAACAATTTATTATGTCAGGTAAATGTATTATAACAATTCCATAATCAATTGAAAGATAATCAATGCAAATCATCAAATGTTCTAGAACAAAGAGGAAAATCTTTTACCCGACATGAAATACATGAATGCTGAGTCTCGGCGACTCAGCATCCACGGGCTGATCTGAGATACAGAAAGAGCCCTGAGCTCTCGTTGCATTTTCCTTATATAGCCAGACCTTATTTGATATGTAAAACTAGAGTTTAGTGGAAATTTACTGTATTCCCCCACCACTACTGGGGGTAGAAGTTTGACCATCTGCGAAGAACAGTGGAAATTAGCATTCATAAATTTACACCTTTGGGAGTGCCTAGAGACCACATTCCTTTGTGTGCCAGTTATTCCTAAACTCTTAAAAACCTTATTTCCTTTTGTTTTATACTTTGGGAATGAGACATTTGTACCACTCATTCTTGAGACATTTCAAATGATACCAAACATAATACTCAATGATAATCATTCACATCAAACCATACATATATTCTTATGTGAGTTTCAGGTGATCTGCATGAAGGGGAAGGAGTGGGGGATGAGGGGAAGAAATGTAGATTAGGATGATTCAGAGGTGAGACCTCTAGTCTCGGATGGGGCCTTCACAAGAGTGAGCCCAAATGCTACTATGCAGTGGGTTCTTTGTCTTCTCAAGAAGTGGTCGTTCCCTATAACCAGTTTTCCAGTCTTACACATGTCATGACAAATCGGGTCCTCCCTCGAAACTGGGTCTCTGTCAACTAAGTAAATGATTATACTAATTAAATATGAACGATATTAATTTAAAATATGTATAGGTTAGGTATATAGCACATAATAACACAAATTCAACGTTTCTTTCACTTGATAAACTGTTAATTAATACATAATAATATAAAAACCTATTACATGAATAAATGAAAATAATTACATTCTTTTTATAACTGAAATATTTGGACATGTAACATGTAGCTATATGATTGTAAATACATGTAGGGCAAGTGCAAACGTATTAACTGCTATCAGGCTAATCGGGTATCTGTATGCTATGCTAGCCTACATAAGCTAACTAATACAGATATTAATGGTCATTATAGTTCAAACTGCATTTATTATTTTGTAGGAATTGTAATTAGGTGCTGAGTGCCTATTAAAATTAATTTGAGCCAATGGGATTGCTTGAGGTCCTAATGGGCTGCATCCAAAATCATTTTGTTACATTTGTCACAGGTTTTAAGTCTGCGATTTCGGATGCAGCCCCGGTTTCGAGGAGGACCTGATTTGGGACATTCTAAAACGCTTAACGTGAAAAACGCTTAACGTGGTTTACTGTAGTGTACTAAGACCAAACTCAGTACACATCATATTAATAAACCATACTATGTATAAAAAAATCAGATGAGCCCAGAATATGAACGCAACGCGTTTAATTACACATTAAGCATTTTCTTCCAAGAGAAAACCGTTATAAGAAAACGCTTAAAGGGTTAGTTCACCCAAAAATGAAAATTCTGTCAGTAATTACTCACCCTCATGTTGTTCTCAACCCCGTAAGACCTTCGTTCATCTTCGGAACACGAATTAAGATATTTTTGATGAAATCTGAGAGCTGGATCACTCCTCCATACTAACTTAAAGTTAGTCCATAGGCTTCTTCAGGGATTGAATTTGCCGGCCTCGAAAAGTTATTAAAGACATCGTTAAAATAGTCCAAGTGACAGTGGCTCAATCTTAAGTTTATCAAGCGACGAGAATACTTTTTGTGCGCAAAAAAACACAAAAATAACGACTTTATTTCAACTATTCATTTCCTTCTCTGTGGGCCTCGAGTCAGTTCACTAGTGTAATAGCGTACGCTTCTGTTGTTGTACGTCACACGCATCACGCACATGACCAGCGTCGGCCAATGGTGAGCCTATGTGTGACGTAGCTCTACGGAATCACACTACATTAACTGACTAGAGGCCCAAAGAAAAGGAAATGAATAGTTGAAATAAAGTCGTTATTTTTGCGCACAAAAAGTATTCTCGTCGCTTGATAAACTTGAGCCACTGTAAGTGACTATTAAAAAGTGTTTTTAAAAACATACGCGGAGAGTGTGACGTCATATCGTGACCGTTGCAGTGTATAGAATTGAAATAATGTGTCCGCCGTGCAGGCTCTATGACAGTGTAATAATAACACTTTTATTTAAGCTCAATAACACTTTTATTTAAAGGCTTAATTTATGTATCGTAGACCGGTCCGCATATACAGGGCAACCGCAAAAGTTTAAACATAAAATTCTTCTAAAGATGGCTGCGCGCTTGTTTCTCTGTCTGTCTAGTGTTCATTTGCACAGGAAGCTTTTATATTCACATCACAGCTCTGTGTCTGCTTAAATTAATCAAATGCTTCATTGGTAAAAAGGACAGATATAATTATCATGAAAAGAATGATAAGAGGAAAAGGGCTCGTTGATGAGTAAAAGTTTCTCCAAAGAAAAAGAAAAGAATCTCTGGCTCTGTCTCACTGTTTCAGCATGCAGTTTAGCATATTCTTTCATCTTTTTTTGATATGCTAATCTTTCACTCTCTGATTGAATTGCTTAAAAGTTAAGTTCTATGGTTAGCACAAACACAAGCTAAAACGTTTTAAACTTGTATAATTTTAAGCTCTTATACAAAAGAGAGCTGTAACTGTAATAACAAAAAAGTGGGAATTTACACTGGGAATTTAACTACAATAGTTGTACTTATATTATTATAATAAAATTAAACATTAGTTTAGTATCTATCCTAATAGGCTATATCAAATTAGTTGGGTTGAATATGATAAAACAATGAATAAATTAATAAAAAATAAATACTGCAAGGCCAGAGGTGAAAGGTCTGTGAAAGACATGATACATTTGAATAAGTTAATATTTCCTTTTTCTGTGTTTGTTTAGACATTCTGGACATGTCGTCTGGGCATTGTATTCTTTACCGGAGAGCAGCGGATACAAGTAAAAAAAAATGAACAGAAGACAATAGAATGGTTAATTAGATACAATTCGAATTTTCATACAAATCAGATATTATTTCAATAATGTAATAGATTTAAAGTAACCTAACACTGATTTAACGTTGCGTTCATTTGAGCGCCTGGTCAAATCTCGACGCTCCCTCGGCGGCGCTTCCTTAATAAGTATCCCATAATGCACCACGTTACTGTCATGGCTGCTCACTGATGACACTTACAGCACATGGGCAGAAATCAAACACATCAGAGTGAGCACACGAGCCCTTCGCAATCGCATCTCACGTTCACACAGAGCAGGTCTCGAGCGACGTGACGCGTGTTTTATTTCTCTTCTGAGGGTTGACGAGGATGATGATGCTGCAGCTGGAGGCGGCGGTTCTGGGCGGACTGAGTCCGGGTCCGGACCTGAAACAGATCGGCTTCAGCACCGCAGGTAAGAGTCAGCGGCAGAGATCTTACATCATGTGCTTTTGAGATGACGATATTGGCTGATGTTGATGGTTTCGTCCAGCTATGGATAATAATACGGGTTTGGATCTACTCGGTTATTGTTGTGGATGTTTTGCGTGCTAGTTGATCAGTGTTTGCTGGACGCAGCAGTTATTCTCACGTGGTTTAAATGTGCCGCATGTGTGTAGAAATCTCAGCGCCGCGCCGACGCACAGGACTGGGTCCAGACAGACTGTGAACCGAGCGACATTTGACAGCCTTCTGACAGCATAACTTCTGTATCTGTGTATTGACTGATTGGAGGATTTGTGTGGGCATCTTTAGCGCATCGGACAGCCTGAAACATGAGGATAGATGCCCGTGTATTCTATTGATGTCGAGGTGAGCATGTGCATGAGATAAAATGCGCTGTTATTTAGCTCACAGTTTTAGAACAAAGCCGCATGTACACACTCCTATGTGCCCGTGTTGATTTAAGTGGGCGTTCACTCAGGAGGACGTGTTAATAACGAGGGGCGCAACACATTTGAGTTTTTTTTTTAATTAGCGGAACTTATTGAACTCATATACTTAAAATTATTGTCATGAAAGAATGTTGTTTAAATTATTGTTCCGTTAACTGTTCCCCCGAACCTAATGATGCGGACGGAACGGAACACCGTACTAAATACACGGGCAGTGTTTCTTGCTTTACGACTCAGCAGCGGCACCGCAATAGATTCTATAGCGCGAAACATACAGCGAGCATGTAGTGCGATTCTCGAACGCATGACTTTAATGAGCAGTTGGCTACTTTTATCGAATCTCAACCGTGCAGCGAATGTAGTTCCATGTCGAACGGATGACGCCGAGTCGGTTCTGATTGACGAATCTAATCCGATTCCTGAATAAAAGTCTTAAGACTCGATTCTCGAAGCAAATATAGTTATTGTTCCGGACAAATGACTCTTTTAGCCGGTTCTTTTTAGTGAATCAAAATACAGTGTTGCTAATGTAGTCCGGTTCCCGAACAAAAGATAATTAAGGGTCGATTCTTGTAGTCATTCAAGCAAAGAGGGCGTGTCTCAATCCGCTCCCGAGCTGAATCACTATATCTGCTCAATGATTAAATGTAAATGTAATGTAAACAACTTACTCGCTAATAATTAAACAAACAAACAAACAAACAGACAGTTGATGGCACCCATTGACTTCCATATTTTTTTTCCCCTCCCTACAATGGAAGTCAAAGGGTGCCATCAACTGGCTGGTTACCAACATTCTTTAAAATATCATCTTTTGTGTTCAACAGAAGAAAGGAACTCGTACAGTTTTGGAACAACTCGAATTTTTTTTATTTTTTGGTGAAGTATCCCTTTCAGAAATGTGGCGTAATTTCCGGTAAGGGAGCATATAGTGAGCATCGATGCTTCCTGGTTTTTGCGATGCATTGTGGGATATTTTTAGAGAGCGAACGGTCTAGTGCACTGGAAGGATTTTGCGATTGAGGCCCTGTCCCAAATGGCACCCTAAAAACGTGCAACGTGTCTGCATTTTTTTGACGTATTATGTCGCTTTGACTGTCGGGAAGAAGTCTGCTGCGGAGCTCGCCTCAGTGCTGGCTCGGCAAAAGTGTGCATCGAGGGCACATATCGACCGCAAAGGGGGCGCTCGCGAGCACCCTTCTGAAACCTAAAATGACAAATGGGACACCCTACGGCCTCTTGGACTTAATGGACACGCGCACGTGGCAGCCATTGTAAGTCCACAAGACCGTAAGTGCATATGAAGGCTGGATCCCAAATGGCACACTCCGGCCTTGTGGACCTCCTTTGAGTTTACACTTGGTGACGTCAGGAAGTGCAGACCTAAGTGCGCCCCGCTGGCCTCGAGGGCACGCGAGAGTGTATTTTGGGACAGGCTTGATGACATCATGCCACCGAAAGTCAAACAGCCATGAAACTCCTCCTCTCATTTATCTGATTGGGCGTTCGCAATGATTCCTGGGTAGGTAACTCGTGTGGACAGGGTGCGACATTGTGGGCTTCGCCAAAGTCCGCATCGAGGGCACAAAGGCGGCGCTCGCGAGCACACTTCTGAGCGCTGAAATGCCATATGGGACACCCTACGGACTCGTACACTTGGCAAGCACGCACAATTTAAGGCCACGAGACTGCGAGTCCTCATGAAGTGTGCCATTTGGGACAGGGCCTGAGACAGCCCTTATAATGGCCGACTCTGATCAGTGCCCTGACTACTGAACTAGGGAGCTGATTGAGATGCACCCAGTGTAGTTAGGTTCCAGAACAAATTACTATTTTTGCCCTTCTTTTTAATGAATCAAAATACAGCGGAGCCAAAATATAGGGTGTTCCTTAAACTGAAGGCTGCACCCTAGTGAGGCTGGGTCTTTCCTTCGGAGTCTTGTGGGCTAGAGTCATCCTCCGCATTAAACAATGAGAAGTCTTGACAGTGCACACATGGCTACATCATAAATGTTTCTGCCCCCGTGTTTTATTAAAAAAAAGCTTTATTAAAACTGGCCTTCTATTAATGCAGTACAGGTAATTACAGCCGTGTGAGGTCTCCCAGTGGATTACATTGTGCACAGTTTAGCATTATGTGATTAATTGACAAAATAAAAGAACATAATGCCTTCATCTCAAAAATAATTTGTCTTGCATTACATAGTGAAATTGGACTAGTTCAGTGCCACTTAATTTTCCGATGATTAATTTTGGAATTGGAATGTGTGCAAAGGATTGCGGGTAAATGGAGGATGCAAAGGATATACTTGATGCATCCTTCAAAATAAGCCATGAAGGGTGCGAAACGAAGGCTGCCTTCAAACGATCCTTCAAATTGAAACGTACTTCGACAGAGCTTGTTATGTGGCAGCCGAGATATGCAGCCTTCCGACTGAGAAGCACCTGTCCTGTAGTCGGATTGCTGAAGAAAATAGGCATAAGAGACGATTATTTTGGTAAATCAAACAAATACAGTGAAGTTAATTTCCTGAACAAATGGCTCTTATGAGATGGTAATTTTTAGGCAATCAAAAAAATACAGTACGGCGAACTGGTTCTTTTAAAATTTAAGTAGACCACAAACATAGACATGAGTGCATGCGCAAGTGTAGTACGATTCCTGAACGAATAACTTGAGTGAACCGGTAACACCACTGGATTTATCTGACTTGCTTACTGAACCGCAAGTTATTCATCATGCCTGACTCGAAGTTAACCAAGATCTGTTACTATGTCAATGGCGGTCTTATGTTGATGTTGCTGGTTATTTTAGTATTTCAATTATAGGCTACAGCTTTGATTATACAAGTCGTCTTTAAAACACAACATTGGTGTGGTCTGGATGTGGAGCATTGGCCATAGTGTACTTAAATTTTTTTTTTTTTTTTTAAGCACACAGGGAATGCAAGAATGCGTCCTTGTGTGATTGCCCCCTATTAGTCTATATTATGATTTCATTACTTATTTATTGCTTGCCTCTCATTTCATACATTATCTATCGCCCCCATCTCTCTGTCAGTTTAATGTGCTGTAGTGGTGTGACAAATAGCTGTGTACACTACAGTGTATTATGTATATTGTAACTGTTAATTGGTATACATTCTACAATGCATATTTCATTTCTCTCTCTCTCTCTCTCTCTCTCTCTCTCTCTCTCTCTCTCTCTCTCCCCCTCCCTCCCTCCCTCCCTCCAACCTCAGGAGTGATTAATGTGTAACTCATAGGATGGTGTCTGAATTGTCAATCTGATCTTCAGTAAAGCTATTATCAGTCTGTCCTCATTCAGTCACATTTATTCACTCCAGTTTCTCCTCAGAAGAGATCAACGACTGAGCAAAGTGGCTCAAAGCGAAGTATTCTTCTAGAAATAGTGAAGCTTTCTTCACGCGTATCAGACGTGACACCATTTTGTGTCTGCAAAGGGAAGCGGAGTAATCCAAGATCTAAACTGAATTCAAGGCACTTTGTACTATAATCAAATAAGGATCCATTTAATTCAGTGTAGCTCTCCATATATAATGTCCTCATGGGTTTATTATAACTGCCTGAGGATAAAACTAAGTATTTGCTTTTGACACTCTGTGGCATATTTGCAGCATCGTTCACCAGAAAAAAAGTGCTTTAAAGTAACTGCATGTTTGATGTAAATAAACAGTTTTTCTGAGTGAGCTTTTTCAGGCCGGTTCGTTCTTTGTTCTTCACGAATGAAGCTCTTTTAGATGAAACTGTGTTACGCAGCACGTTTGATCTTCCACAACAACCAATGAGGTTTATTGTTGTGTGTAATGCAGCACTTTTGAGCTTCCGCAAGAGGTTTGTTCTTGCGCGTCAAGCAAGTTCGGTTGAGCTTCTGTTTATGTTTGCTGATCAATGTTTATATGTGAATAAAAGCCTAAATTCAATCTGTTCATCATATAAAGTAACCAAGTCTCTTCAGAAAATTTGGACTAAACCTCTATTCATATGGATTAGTTTTACAATCTCTTTAGGAACTTTTTGAAGCGTCAAAGTGGTAGTTGTTTAGCTATGGAAGTAAAATAATGTCAAATGTTTTTGAAACAAAAAGCATGTTGAATTGAACCAATTGAAAAAAAAAATGCATTTCGTTAACCATGCTTGCATTTTAATCCATTGTATTTTTAAGGCTTGCATTTTTATGGGCTGAAATTCAACATGGTTGAATATTTAGGCTGTGAATATTTCAATTAAAAACATTTCTAACACATTTTCATTATTCAAAATTCAATAATCTTCCAATAATCTTTCACTTCCAAAATTTTCAAACCGTTTCAAAATACAACCTATAACATTCAACAGGCAATTTTTGGTCCATATTTCGCCTTGAAAATTCGCTTCCACAAATTCAGTGGTTCAAATTCAACAGAAAATACTACGTTGACATCCAGGAACTGCAGGAAAAGCAGTAGATTGCCGAGCATATTCTCCATCTGCTGTTAGTCGCTTCACCAGCAGGGGGTGCAAGCGCGTGTTGACAAGCACCAAAGCAACAGCTAGAGACTAGAGGCCTTCACAAAACGTCAATTGCTGAAATGGACAGCGCGGTACGAGTTATAATTTATGTGTGTGGAAAAGGTTGATTAGACACAAAACACGAGCGTTTACTCAAGTGTCTTATGAGACTTATTTTTAAATTTTTTAAATCTACATTTTTTTTCATTTTTTGGGAGGAAAAAGCTCAGTATAATAGAATAAGCAAAAAAAAGACTTCACATATAAAAAAAGAAATAACACAAACACAAGGTCAGGTTATATAAAAATAAAACATTCATTAATTTTACTATTAACATATTACTGTCTTAAAGGGATACTCCACTTTTTTTGGAAATAGGCTCATTTTACAACTCCCCCAGAGTTAAACTGTTGAGTTTTACCGTTTTTGAATCCATTCAGCCGATCTCCGGTTCTGGCGGTACCACTTTTAGCATAGCTTAGCATACATCATTGGAGTGGACAAGACCATTAGCATTTCTAAAAAAAAAATGACCAAAGAGTTTCGATATTTTTCCTATTTAAAACTTGACTCTTCTGTAGTTACATCGTGCACTAAGACCGACGGAAAATGTAAAGTTGCGATTTTCTAGGCTGATATGGCTAGGAACTATACTCTCATTCCTGCGTAATAATCAAGAAACTTTACTGCCGTACCATGAGAGCAGCAGGCGTAATATGACGCAGCGCCTGAAAATAGTTCCGTTGTGTTGAAGGAAGGTGGCCTATTTTCAGGCGCTGCGTCATATCATTACCAATTAACATTTTTTACTGTTTTTTTTTGTACCTAATTTTTTCTTCTCTTCTGTAAAAATATAATAATAATATTATATTATAATAATAAACATTTCAGGTTAAAATGTTGTTTAATAATGTAAAAAAGAAATTATATGATCACAAGGTACTGTCAAAATTAATACCATAACCAATAACAAAAATGTGGACAATCATTAAAAATGAGGACCCTTTGTGACATCCCACATTCTCACAATTGTATTTTCATGATCGATCACTTTTTCCCTGCAGTCAAGAAGCCTGTATCAAAGATTTTAATCCTCTTCATAAACATACACCTAGGCCTAATGCTCATAGTTTGAGATCTTATCAAAGAGCTTGAGAACAGAATTTTCTGCAGTTGTTTTTAAAATATGACAGTGCGGTGAGAATCATGTTTCTCTCTCTATTAGGTACTGGCACTTCAGAAATGAGTGCTAAGTGATTTTCGGGAACAAACCATACACGCATTGGTGTCTGAACGTATATCTTCAGCTACTCTCTCCTTGTGTGTGTGTGTTCAGATGGAGGTTCGTTGCTGCAGTTGGTGTGTGAGGGAGATTTCGAGGCTGTGCTTTTCAGCTCTGCGGTGCAGAGGCTGCTGGGAGGTGATCCTGAAGAGGGTGACTGTATTGAGGCCTATCTGGAGAGACGGGTGCTGTCTTACCTGAGCAATGCCACTGAAGACCAGAGGAGTGACAGGTGAGGATTTAGGACATATGATGGCTTTCTTTCAGTTTTTAACTGTACAGAAAGATCATGACAATTTTGTGCTGTTCTGCACTAGTACGGAACTCCATGAATTTCACCACAATGAGAAATATTCATTTACATTCTTTTTGTACTTCTAAATGCTGCAGGCACATGCATTTTCTGTGTAACACATTTAAGTGAGTTAATTACATTTATTAGAGTCTAAATGCAAATGAGGACGAATTTAATTAGTGAAACTGTAATTCTATTTGTTTAAATTGCACTACTGACTAAAGATGTCCTCAATTAGTTACACTCATTGTGCCTGTTAAATTACAGGACTTTTTTAATTTTATTGCAGCAGATTTACTGTTAAATAGCGCTATTTAAATGAGTTCTGGTGTACGGACTGAAATGTCTTATTTATTGTGATTTTAATGGTTTTATTTGTACTGTCTCCTGTAATTGGCTATGAATTATTTAGCACTGTGATTGTAAATACAACATTTCTGATTTATTGATGGGCGAATTGTAATAAATTCCTTTGTTAGATCTCTCTCACTCACTCACTCACTCACTCACTCACTCACTCACTCACTCACTCACTCACTCACTCACTCACTCACTCACTCACTCACTCACTCACTCACTCACTCACTCACTCACTCTCTCTCTCACTCTCTCTCTCTCTCTCTCTCACTCACTCACTCACTCACTCACTCACTCACTCACTCACTCACTCACTCACTCACTCACTCACTCACTCACTCACTCACTCACTCACTCACTCACTCACTCACACACACACACACACACACACACACACACACACACACACACACACACACACACACACACACACACACACACACACACACACACACACACACACACACACACACACACACACACACACACACACACACACACACACACACACACACACACACACACACAAATAGGGTTGACTAGCTTACGTGAGGCACACTCGCAAGGTCTCTCGCTCTCTCCCTCTCTGCCGTGCACGTGCTATGTATGTTATGCGCGCAGTGTGTTCTGTCTCGCATGCGCGCTCTAGATTCCGGGAGATTTGAACTAATTTGGGGGCATCAGGAAGACGCTATCAATATGCGGGAGACTCCCAGAACTTCCAGGAGACTTGGGATTTCTGCAATGGCCACAGACAATTTGAGGAAGTGGTGGGGGAAGTGACGTATGCCGTAAAGCAGTCGAATTTTGTAGTACTTTTTGTGCTCCGATTACTACCCGAAGTTACATAGTGCAAGTAAAAGCGATACAGACCACGTCAGGCTATGGCAGACCACTGGCAGACGTGTCATTTAACCTATTGTAAGTCAATGTATCGTCACAAGGGTATTGGAAATATATTATGAAGGTTGAAAAACTACATAGTGTTACTTTAACGCAAACATATTTTAACGGCGTAAATTTTTTTTATCGCGTGATTAACGGTCTTTTTGGCCTATCAAACTTTGTAGTTTTTTTTTTTCACATGTTTTTGCAACAGGACGCGGCATTCGCGGCGCTGCGCTATGAAACCCATTAATTTCATGGACGTTTAAATTTTTTCCTAATTTTTTTCTGTTGACATTTTTCTGGATTGTGTTTTTTTTTCTTTTTAATTTGTTTAATTTGTGTTTTAATTTTTTTTTACTCCCATCATAAAGGTTAAATTAAATCTGAGTAATTTATTAAAACATTAATATATTTCTGTTATAATTTCTTCAGGTTAAACCCAACTTATTTTGACTGGTTGCCGTGAAGACCTTTTGAGTTTCTGTGTGTTTATAAAATGATAATAGTTTTTCTCGATAGTTTGGTAAAATGCTGATGAAGTGACTCTGAAACTGCGAGCGTTACACGTGCTTCCGTGTGTGTGTGGGAAATGTCATTCACACAGAGACACTAGTCTATATCGTGATTTGATTTAAGTGTTCTTACCTACTTTTGATTTATTCATCCAAGAATTGACAAATTACTTGAAATTCCGCATATACAGTAAATTCCACAGTTTTCACTGAATTCCGTGATTCCATCTGTGTATTTCGCATCGTGGAAATCATAGGGCCCTAGTGAAGTGTCTCTCTGTGAACAAACACCCAAAATGCAAAACACCGAATGCCACTTCAGAGTTCTCTTTCACGCTTGAACTGACAATAACACAAATTTGTAAAAATTGCTGTTTTGAGTATCTACGCAAGCAGTCTTAAATGAGTTAAAGTGTTAAATGAATGTAAACAGTTGTGAGAAAATAGAAAGTGTATCAGATCCGCTTCAGGTCTTAAAGTGACAGCAGCCTAATAAACGTGCTGCTGTCTGTGTCATTAATGTTATATTAGGGGAGACACCCCAGATGAATAGGAAAAAAACATCTAATAATGTCAGTAATCAACTGGGGAAGTTTCATTCTGATATCTAAGACAAATGTCTTGTTACAAGTTTTTAGAATATTTGTTTAATTATGTAAATGATGTATTATCTAATTAAATATGCGCCAATTTGCATATATTTCCAGAAGAGAAATCTGAACATCGGATAAAGCCAGATTCAAAATTCTTGTTTCATTTTGTTGACTTATTGGAATCAAAGGTTTTTACTGAGGGGATTTTGGATATCTCTTTTTATCATGCCGTTAATCAAAAAAAAAAAAATTGCCCCGTTTTTAGGTATAAAATGTTGTATAAATCAGAATCTGAATGATATATGAACAAACCCCTCTGTAAAAACCTTAAGAATATAGACCGGAATACAACTAGAACGTTTGGTGTATGTAAGTGCTGCTGAAGTGGAGATTTCTGGCTCAGAGTATGAGGAAAAAAAACATTTTGAGAATCACGTTGTCAGAAATTGACATCAGCCAATGAGATTTTTCTTTTAGAGTTAAATGCCCCATTGTACTTTCACGATTGGTTGCTGATAAAAAAAAGGAAATGACCATATTTGGATCCGACAACATTGTACAGGAGAGAGAGAACTTTCCAAATGTATATATGGTGACACGGTGCAGATCGCAGAGCTGCATGTTGATTTAGAACTCCAACTTTTGTTGAATTTAGGAGAAATCTATAGACTCAAATAGACACGGTGTAGTAAAATAAAGACCTAAATGTGTATTTTGGACTTTTTTTCACCACAAGTTGATGTTATTGAAGACAAATAGCCCAAAATCTAAAAATTGACCAGTGAGAAAAAAAACGTTGTTTTTGCCGGCCGTGTCTCCCCTTAATCAAAGAACAAAAGACAGAGAGAAAATCACTCACTGCTCTTGACTGAATAACGTTTGTAGCTTGAATAAGTATTATTTTATATTTAGGATATTTAACTTATGCAGTGAGGACTGTGCAGTGTTTGTTATATTTCATTTCTGTATATTTACCTGTTATACCTACCTGAAAGGTTACATGGGTCAAAAACAATATATAAAAAAAATTGATGCATTTTAGCAGGGCAGGGAAAAATCTGAACCGGCCAGACTGGGGCAAAAAAAAAAAAAAAAAAAACTTACCATTGAGCCCTGATTTATTAAAGGCACAGCTAAATGTGACATTTATGACAATGAATGGGTTTATGTGAAGATTGTTTTATGTACACTTAAATTAAAAGTTGTTATAAATTGATAGCTTCCAATTATACTGCAATGTGGAATGGCTGTAATTAATGGCTAAATTTGAGTATACACAAATTTTTTGACACTTAACACAATTGAATGATGTATAACACTTATATGCATGATCAAGTATTTTGAGTCTCTTTTGCACTGATAAAAAAAAGCGAGTTGATCGCGCCGGCGCGACCACCGACCCCAGAAGGTTAAAAGAGACACACCTGTATCAGTATTGGTATCACTGAATACTGGCCATTAGTGCCTAGTAAAAAGATGCCATTTAACAAATATTTAAAATACACCGTCTTTGTTTAACAACATAAAGACTCCAAAAAACCTTCAAACATTATTTTGGAGCTTCAATGTGAAAGTATTGCAATATAAAAAATATTATAAAGAACGATTAATTAGGTGGTGCAATTAATTACAGAAAGTGCAATTAATCAATTGACTATATTTGTGTGTATATATATATATATATTTATATATATAATTTTTTTTTTTTTTTTCACATACAAGAAAAATCAATGAGGACCAATTTTTTTTTTGGAATTCATTGACTTTCATTGTGTATAAAACACCATCTTTCAAAATATTATCTTTTGTGTTTTGAATGACATGCGTTTTGAATATACATTACAGGTTTGGAATGACATGAGGGAGTAAATGATGAATGTTCATTTACACACTTAAAGCAAGAAAAACAAAATTATAATGCTCCCATTAGATTTAAGAAAACTGACTACATGACAAGTTAGCGTAGATGTGTTGTGTACTGCTATGTAAGGAGTTTTAGCGGTCGGTGGCTTCAGCTGAGTGGAGCGTTTTATTGTGTAGAGAATGAATAAAACCATACAGAAGGGTTCAAACACTGTCCCCTTCCTTTCAGCCATGAATTACTAATTTTCGATAAGCCCACTTTAACATCTTTTCTCTCCAGAGAAAGAACGAGTTGAGGAAGGGAAGGTTGCGCTGCACTCCTCAGCCGTGCTTCTCTTCTTATCTCTCCTCTGCTCGATCACGCTCCCCTTGCTTTATTTTTCTTTTTATACAGCCTCTCTCATTGTGGCTTCGGTTAGAGGGACAGAAATTGGTTGTAAATGAACAGAATGGCTTGAATAATGAGTGATGCTTTCTGTTGAGAGATTAGATGCTGGTAGATTGATGTTTGTGTGCTGTTGAATGCAGGAGAGGTTTTTTTTTCCTTTTCTTTTTGTCCTCATCTTCTCTTTCTGTTGTCTTGTGTACATTCTCATTTATTTTTCATGTAATATTTTAAAGGCACCAAAATACACAATGAGATTGACTCAACCGTTTTCTTTCTCTCCTGTGAGAATAGCGTGTTGTAGATCGCAGCGAAACATGAATGTGTGAATTTGAGTTGCATGTAAATGTCCTTTCTCAATGGCATCTGGGATTACTATTTCAGGTCTTTGATTTCAGCTGGTGGCACATTGCTGGCACCTGATTCATTCGTTCAGGTCTATACATTTACATCAACTGTGTGTGGAAATGTTTTCAAAAATAAACAACGAACGTTAAAGGAGAACTCCGGCGCAAAATGAACCTTTGGTCTAATAAAACATTGGTACCTAGTCAACCGTTCTCTGAGATTTGTTTTCATGATAATCGAATGTAAAGAGTTTTATCTCTAAAAACTGTTTAGCGTATAACGCTAGTGATGGGGGCATATAATAAGTAAAAAGAAATCGCTAGTTTATACCACTAACAAGGCTCAAAATAGTAACATAATGAGGGTCCCTACATGCAAAACGAAGCATTGAGAACTTTATAAAATATCTTCTTATTAAACGGTCTGTACACTTACAAAGTTCTCAATGTTTCGTTTTGCATGTAGGGACCCTCATTATGTTACTATTTTGAGCCTTGTTAGTGGTATAAACTAGCGATTTCTTTTTACTTATTATATGCCCCCATTACTAGCGTTATACGCTAAACAGTTTTTAGAGATAAAACTCTTTACATTCGATTATCATGAAAACAAATCTCAGAGAACGGTTGACTAGGTACCAATGTTTTATTAGACCATGAAGGTTCATTTTGCGCCGGAGTTCTCCTTTAACCTGATGGATGTTTTGGTGGGGTCAACGTGTATTTCAGCTCAATAAATCCAGTGGCTGTAACAAGATTAGCTGTTAAAATGTGTTTTTTCTGAGCCTGATCTCTTGTCTGTTGTAGAGAAACTGCTCTGTTGGCGTTGGCAGTGGGGTGTCTGAAACTTTTCGCTCAGAGTAATTGGACCGGGCCACCAGTTGAGCTTCACATCTCTGATTTTCTGCCTGAGGCCTTGCTCCAGAACTTCTCAGAGGTGCAGTACCATTATGCACCTGTGCATTTAATCCATACAATCCGCCCATCCATCTGCACATCCATCCATCCTACCGCACATCCATCCATCCTACCGCACATCCATCCATCCTACCGCACATCCATCCGCCCATCCATCTACACATCCATCCATCCTACCGCACATCCAACCGCCCATCCATCTGCACATCCATCCATCCTACCGCACATCCATCCGCCCATCCATCTGCACATCCATCCATCCTACCGCACATCCATCCGCCCATCCATCTGCACATCCATCCATCCTACCACACATCCATCCATCCATCCATCCGCACATCCATCCGCCCATCCATCCTACTGCACATCCATCCGCCCATCCATCTGCACATCCATCCATCCTACCGCCCATCCATCCATCCATCTGCACATCCATCCATCCTACCACACATCCATCCGCCCATCCATCTGCACATCCATCCATCCTACCGCACATCCATCCGCCCATCCATCTGCACATCCATCCATCCTACCACACATCCATCCATCCATCCATCCATCCGCACATCCATCCGCCCATCCATCCTACTGCACATCCATCCGCCCATCCATCTGCACATCCATCCATCCTACCGCACATCCATCCATCCATCCATCCATCCATCCATCCATCCGCACATCCATCCATCCACACATTTTTAATGAGAAAAAAAACAAAAAACTAAATGCTCATGTGAAATTATGCGATGTGTGGTATGAGTGTGTGATGGATGGAATGGAAGATGATGGCGACACTGGGCAGGTCAGTGCTCTGGATAATGAGTGTGTAGAGGGCTACAGGGTTGCTAATGAAACCTCTCAGGGCTCCTAATTATACAGAGGTGAAGAGATTCTTCTCCCTAATGCCCTATGGAGGCCTTGTAGATCCCTGGAGAGGCACTGTGTGTGTGTAACACTTTCTGCTGTTTCACAGCTTTCTAAAGCTGCTGATTTATCAGCCTTGTCCTAGAGAGCAGAGCCCCTCTAAATTAGACTGAGAGCACATGGAGAGAGATGGGTGGACTGAAGGCACTTACAACAAGTAGGGCCTGAATATAAAACCAATGAAATACGTAAATAGAAATGAAGTCTTTTAAAATGAACTGTAAATGGAGTAATTTCTTCTATTTATTTGTTTCTCTTTTATACAATGAATTGAATAGGACTTTAATATGATTTTAAGAATTTTGTATGCACTTTTGCGAACCTGTTACAATCATTTGGTATGGTTAAATGCAGTTTAAACCACATTTCTGATTATTTTCTAGTGATAAATATATTAATTTAATTTAATTTATTGTAATATTTTAAAATAAGAAACCTACAGAATTGGTAACATGGTTGAAAATTTAAATCACTGTCACTTAGTGAAGTTTTTGATAACTTATTTCCTATAAATTATAAAAAATATATATTTTCTTTTACATTAAATGTTTATCAAACTATAAACCAGCTTTTTGTCAAACTAAGCATTTTTATGTAATAGTTAAAGAGATTAAAAGAGAATTTACAGTTCGATTTCATGATTAATAATTTTAAATGGAAAATTTACTATTTAACATCATACCATGGTGGTTACAGTTTTCATTATTGCAAAACCATGATAAAATAATATTAGATGAAATAATAATAGTGTGAGAACATCTTGTTTAATTTCTCTCTCTATCTCGACTTTTCCTCTCTCTCTCTCTCTCTCTCACACTCACACACACACACACACACACACACACACACACACACACACACGCACGCACAGCCTGCGGCCCTGAACATGGCCGTGTTGTCCAGTCTTCAGCTGGATGGAGAGTCTGTCTACAGTCTCGTGTCCAATCCCCTCCTGCTGCTGCTGACCAGAGTCATATTCGTCAACTGCGGTGCCAAACTGGAGACCCTTCAGGTGAGATACAATCACTTTTACACCACTGCAGTAGAATTCACCATGATTGGGAACACAAGATGACACACCAATACAGTGCAACTGCAGGACACTATAACTTGACAATTTCTTTGTGAGAAACTTATGTTAGTGACAAGGGTCTTCTGTAGTTTGAGTTCACTTGAACAGTTATTTAATACACCAATATCTGTGTTGGTAATAAGGAGCCATCTCTTGCAGTCATTACTCTATGCCCATTTGTGCATTACTGAGAGAGACGATGAAGAATTATGAGGCTGTTTAAAATAAGAGTTAAATTATGACCGTGGTTTCCTTTTTGGCTCTCTGTGTGTGTGTGTGTGTGTGTGTGTCAAGGCCTCACACATAAATTTCACAGCAGTGGAGCATTAGGATGGATGTGTGTCTCCTGATGTTTGTTGGTCCTATACTGATCCATATTTATGTTACATGATTCTCCAATAGCAGGCTAAGTGTATGTTTGGATCATTGTTCGAAAAACATCTACTGTCTGGCTAAAGGTGCAGTGTGGAATTTCTTCAGGTGGAATTGAAAAAGTTTCCCAAAAGACTTCAGTACCATTTTTTTTTTTTTAAACAGAGGTAGCCCCTCCTCAAAATCACCCTATTGGTTGAATCAGATGTTATTACTGTATACCTTATTATATTTTCAGCAGCCATTACTCCAGGCTTCAGAAATAATTCTAATATGCTGATTTGGTGCTCAAGAAACTCTTCTTCGTCTTCTTCTTGAAAACAATTGTGCTGCTTAATATTTTTGTGGAAACCGTGATGCTTCCGTCAAGTAGGGGTGGGCGATATGGCAAAAATATCATATCACGATTTTTTTCAGGAAAATCACGATTAACGATTTTATCACGATTCTTTTTCATGTTGGTTTTACTATTTTGCAAGTCACTGAGCATTACAGCCAAACTAATGTCCCTATTTTAAAAAAAGCCTAATAGGTAACAAAAGAAAAAAGAATGGCAGACATTTAGGCCAAAGTGGCGAAGATAAAAATCTTTATCATTATTTTCTTTGTTATTAAGAATTAGGAACAAAGATACACATTAAGCATACACAACTTAATATACAAATGAAATAAACAGTGCTTTATTTTTTCAGCTACAGTAGGGGTATTTAACAGTAGCATTGAAGAAAGTAATTAGGCTAAATGAACAAATACGAAAATAAAACACAACATAGACTTCACTGTATAAATTATACATTGATTATTATTAAAGCTACTACTAAAGTTCTCAGTCAAGAGCAGTGTGTGATTTCCTCTTTGTGTTTTGTTGTTTTATTAACATTAAAGGGATAGTTCTCCCAAACATTTTAATTGTCATCATTTACTCTCTCAAGTTGTTTTAAACCCGAATAAGTTTCTTTCTTCTGTTGAAAATAAAAGTTATTTGGAAGAATGTGGGTAACCAAACAGTTGCTGTACTCCAGTGACTTCCATAGTATATGTTTTCCTACTATGGAAGTCAATGGGGACCAGCAACTGTTTGGTTAGCCACATTCTTCCAAATAACTTTTATTTTCAACAGAAGAAAGAAATTAATACAGGTTTGGAACAACATTAGAGTGAGTAAATAATGACAGAATTTTTATTTTTGGGTGAACTAGCTCTTTAAGGACAAGAGGCAGCTTGTTTACTAACTGGCTACTGTCGCTTTAAGAGCTGGACGCGACTCGTCTAATATACACGCATTTGACAAGCAGATTTTCTCATTTTTTTTCTGTTTGCTTTCACTTTAGTCATAACCAACTTTGTTTATGTAAACCTTGTGTGTATTTGACAATATTAGGGCAATAAGACTCGAAAGATAACTTATAACGTAGTCCAGTAAACAGACGCTGTTAGACAGGCTTTTAGTATCGAAAGCCAAATGGTTCAGAATTCGCGTGGATTTGATCGCCGTCTAAATATTAAAACGCCGCCAGGCGTTAAATAAGCGCCGTTAGGCGATAAGTTAACGTCACACGCCGCCACGCGTTAAAATAACGCCACTCGCCGATAGATGTTAAATTGACGCCACTCAAACTGCAGATTTGTGAGCTCATCTACATGGCCCCTCCTATTCTGAGTTTGAGGACTCTACGGCAAGTCGGAGAAGACAATCCTGTTTGGAAGCGCACGAAAATGGCAAGGAGAGGATTTGTTTTGCGGTGTAAACACACTGTAAATGACTGCACTCGCCTTTTATACTCTGATAATCCAGGGCCTGATGTCTTTCATCATTAACTCTCTGCCCATTTCGTGTTTTGAGCCCAAATCAACTCGGATATATAAACAAATGCACTTTCCAGCACAAGGCAAAAATGTTCCAGAAAAAATATTACTTTTATAGCACATGCAATGACCTGTTTTTGGAATTTGCAGTTTACATTTTATAATAATTTCAAATTCAGAAATGCAGGTTTGTGATTCTGCAAGTGCAAATCTCAACATTCAATTTCAGGGCCCGTATTCCTAAAGAATCTAAGAATCCTTTTAGAAAACTCTTAATTTAGCTTAACTTTTACGTAGGAGTCTTAGCTTAAGAGTGATCCGGGACCGATCTGAAAGCAACTCTGAGTAAGGAAAAGACAAAAACTTTTATCTTAGTGAGGAGGCGGGGCTGACCCCGTTGCTATGAATGACACAATCTTTTGAAGACTGTGATTGGTTGGTTGTCCAAGAAGGAAAAAAAGAGTGATTTTAAGTATAGGGTCTATTCTAAGCCTTCACTTTGAAATTACATGCGTAATTTTTCCTATTTGACCATTCTCATACACACACACACATTATATTTGTGTATATAAATCCTTTTTTTTATTTACCATACTGTTAATTTCCTATAAGGTATTTGATTGGATTAGAATGATAAAAATTGTTCCACTGTCTATTTAAGTGGTGGTTTGAATGTTGGTTTTAATGTAACAAACATGGAATAAAAAACAAGAAGGACAAGAAAGCTCAACTGGACAGAGGAACAGTGTTTACTGTGAGCCCAGTTAGTGGATGAACACAAGGCCATCCTTAAAGGAAAATCAGGTCGGGTGTCACAGCACAGAAGCAGACGTGGGAGCTTATAGCGGTTAATAATAAATTATTTACGGTTCATTCCCCCTCCTTGTGCGGAAGCCTGCTATATTCATAAATGCATTTTTTTGAGCCTGCAATGTGGGAATGTCCAGTGGAAACTAAATGAACTGCGACACAATGAGAGGTTCTGAAAGTGCTGTAATTGTTTGTGATCACTCTGCTTACAGAAGTTTGTGACAGACCCAAATCATCACTGCTGCGTTGATGCATTTTCCCAGATGCCAAATATCTTAATGTACAGTAGTGATTTCATTTCTGGCACTATGCCATTCCTGCGCTGTGTCGGAGATGTTATTGTGTCTCTAATAAAATCGGTCACAAACATGATCCCTGCACGATCTAATCTATAGCATCTCATTAACTCACTGTCATCTATTGTCTGCAATGCATTTCTTCCCCCTCTTCGTCTTTCTGCCATTTTCTCCTCTGCTAAAAAAACTCTTAAGCCTCTTAAAAGTCCTTGTCCGTGCTCCTAACAATTTTGACCTTAAGACTTCTTTTAAGGGTTAAGATGCTTTCTGAATTACTTTTTTCTTTACTAGGATTTTTTCTTTAATTTTAGGAGTAAACGCCCACATTTCTAAGAATTTTCTTAGAATTTTGTCACTAGGAGCTACTTTTTGCATTAAGATTCTTTAGGAATACGGGCCCAGATTTTTATTTGACAGGTTTTCACATCAGAGCTGTAAGTGTAAAGTTTAGCATATAAGTTCTCAAATTCAACTGAACGTGCAATTCACACGATCTCTAAGCGCTTTATTATAACTCGCTGTCTTCACGAAGTGCTGAAATGTAGGCTGTATCATTATGACATGGCCATTGTCAGGAAATGAAGAAGGAATATGTTCCAAATCAAACTTTATTAACGAGACAGAAGATAAGAGGTAATCATTTCTTTAAAAAAAAAAAATTCTTTTTTTTTTTCTTTTTTTTTATCAGTTGGCCGGTCACACGGCTTTCATAGTTTTCATTTAGGCTACGTGACTGCGGAGACCTGCAGTTATTTTTATTTTTAATTTAGTTTTATGTATTTATTTATTTATATCTTATTTATTTATATCTTGATTTTGAATTAGTTTTATTTTTCGTGGTAATTTTAGTTTAATTTGAAGCAATTTCGTTATTTGCTTTTGTCATTTAAAAATAAATAATTTAAAATAGCTATTTACGTTTATTTTAGGCTATATTTAATTATTTAGGCCTATATATAGGTTAATTTAGCTATATATAAGTTTAGTTTAAGTTTTTATTTCCAGTTCATAATTTTAGAGCTTCAAATTCAGCTCATTTCAGTCTGCAAGGCAACATTTTTAATTTTCGTTATTTTTTTAAATTAATATACTGTATATGCCCATAATATGCCCATTTTATTTAGTCTAATTTTAGCTTTATTTCAGTTAACTTAAATGCTTAATGTTACGAATTATTTAGGCTAATGCGGTACACCATTAGGCCGGGAGTCGCACACTCAGACAGGCAACCCATAAAAATAAAGTTTGATTTGCTTCAAATTCCCACTTTTGGGTCTTCTTTTCCTGACTAGGCCATGTCATGATGATACTGTATAGTGATTGACATTTCAGCACTTCGTGAAGACAGCAACATTAATAGTAATAAGCCAAACGGCTTACTCAATCCTATCTCACTCAATGAGTTGATTTACTCATCCCGTGTTGATTTGGTTGATTATAATTTAATTTATAATTTAAAAATAATTTAATGAATGAATTTAAGGGATTGCATAAAGGGAAATCTAGGGACTCCTTCTCCCATTCTCTCTCTTTACTACTACAACACACGCGCGCACACACACACACACACACACACACACACACACACACACACACACACACACACACACACACACACACACACACACACACACACACTCACACACACACACACACACACTCACACACACACACACACACACACTCACACACTCACACACACACTCACACACTCACACACACACTCACACACACACTCATCTACTCTGCATAATTTCTAATCAAGATATGCACAAGTCACAAAAATAAAATCAATCTATCCTTGTGGAAAAGTTGCTTGGTAGCTAAAAGTAGGTCTAGCAAGTCTTATATTTCTGTAATTCACACAGATCAAATAGCCTACAAATATGCTGACTGAATAGATTGCTAGTTTATTTTGACAAGCAGTTCTCTTGGCAGTTTGCTGATAATCCGGTGTCTGAAGTAAAATGCTCAAAACATCTCCTGAGAAAAATCACATGGTCAACCTAGTCTGTTATTTAATTTTAATTTTGTTTTATTTTCCTTACCTTGTCATTCAAGGCCAGGGCACTTTTTGTACATTTCTGGAACAACTACAGATCTCCGAGGAATATTCATTATATATTGCTGCGTACATTTATCCGTGTCACCTAGATGCGCGTGCGCGATCATGGTCGACTGACAACGAGATTAAGCAGCTGAACAAGAATACGGACGTGTTCCGATTGTTCTCATCTCAGCTTCGCCGAGACAAAATAGACATGCCATTTCAAAAATCTTTCATTTATTGCCAGAAATATGTTTTCAAAAGCATCACTTTCATCAAATTTTATGTGAAATAATTTCCAGTAGGCAACTGACTGTAAACGAGCAGGCTTATGTGCCGGGGCTGAGCCCCGGAGGGCCCCGGCCCAATTTAAAGGGTTAGTTCACCCAAAAATGAAAATTAAGTCATTAATTTTCGCGCTCTTCCAAACAGGATTGTCTTCTCCGACTTGCCGTAGAGTCCTCAAACTCAGAATAGGAGGGGCCATGTAGATGAGCTCACAAATCTGCATTTTGAGTGGCGTGTGGCGTCAATTTAACATCTATCGGCGAGTGGCGTTATTTTAACGCGTGGCGGCGTGTGACGTTAACTTATCGCCTGACGGCGCTTATTTAATGCCTGGCGGCGTTATGAAGACGGCGTTTTAATATTTAGACGGCGATCAAATCCACGTGAATTCTGAACCATTTGGCTTTCGATATTTTAGTGCCGTGTGCTTCGGGTGTATGCGCTCAGAAAGCACACGTCAGAACAGCGCATCAGCACGTGAATTACATGTTTAACCAGCAAGGCTTTAAAGCACATGCAAATAATGAACTTCTGTGAACTGCAGTGTCCCGTTCCTCTGCGTTAACATTTGTTGTATGTTGAGACGGAGCTCGGCGCCAGAACTGCAACTGATAAAATGCACGATACTACAATATTTCTTCAAAAGCAGATCGTGGAGACATTTTAATCGTCCACGATCAAAAACCGTGATATCGCACACCCCTACCGTCAAGCTAAAAAAAAGTAATAAATCATAAATGATTCATTCTGTATAAGCCCTAAAGGTTTAGCTTTTTTTTTTTTTGTGAGGGTCAGACCACAAATTTAAAATGTAAATAGCAAATGGCATCTACTATGTGGCAAAAATTCAGTTCTCTTCTAAAGCTACAGATAGAAAAGTAACATTCCAGCTACCTTTGCATTGACAGGTGCAGTATGGGCATTAATAGTGCTAATTGTAAAGTTATATGACCCACTTCCACAGGAGCGGAAAAAGCACTTCCACACCGAATGTCATCACCAGTATTATTGATGCTATAGTTCTTGACTGAAGTGTCCACGTTTCAGGTTGTCAGTCAGAATAGGATTATTATTCATGTGTGCACAAACACACATTTTGTGTGTGTGTGATATGTGACTCTCAGGATGAAGTCATGAATCTCACTGTTCTCTCTTTCTCAAAGCAGTAAATTAGAGCCTTAAAATCCTGCAGTCTCTTATTAAATTGCTGGGAAAATAAGCTTTGTTCAATATGTACAGTGTCCACAGTCTTTTATAGTATTTTAACGGTCTGTGATGAAGACATTACACATGCCGTACTGTCTTTTTTCTTTCTTTCTGTGAATATTTATGTGGTAAGACGGGCGTAACTAATGCATTTATATATTTATTATTTCCCCGTCTTGTGCAACTACAAGCACAGGCCAGGGATGAAAATGTTTGTGCTGCGATTAGTTGAGAGAAAGAGAGGCGCAGTATGTCTCACGCCCCCCACTGCCTCATGTTCCAGAACGTTGTTTCATTAGTGCGAGAACAAACGAATACACAAACTCTGATTCTGGTCATTTATAGGGTAGATACACCAGCATACAGATTTAATGTTTGTGTTGTGTGCAAATACATAAATAAATGTTTCATTCTGAACATTACTGCTCTCTGTGCTGTCTTGTTTGCACACTCAGTATGAAGCCAGGTTCTCTTGTTTTGCTTCTTTTTAAAGAAAAGAGCGAAGCTCATTATCATTTAAAGTCATATGCACTGAAACGGCGTGCTGAAAACAGAGCTGTTTTTGACCAGGTAAAATTAGTGTTTTCTTAAAATACTAATGAGAATTTTTAATAAAAGTATATTACAAAGTTTTCATTTGGACCCTAAACATTCATATTAACTTGTACAAAAATGGCATTGTGACCCCTTTAAATTGTAATACTCCACAATGTTTCTGTTTTACTGTATTTTTGATCCAAAAAATGCAGCCTTGGTGAGCAAACAAAAGACTTCTTTCAAAAACATTAAATCCTACCAACCATACAATTTTGAAAGGTAGCATAAATGTAACTTGTCACATCTCTCTGTTTGCGTGCGTGTAAATAGCTGCTTCCCTGGTGGACCCTGCGATATGTCACTCTACATCAGCAGATACTAGAGGAGAGATCCCCACTGCTCTTCAACCTGGCGCTCAGCTGCATCGAGAAAGGCAAGAAAACGCACACACACACCCACCGTTGTGTAGTCCTTTTACCTGTTATAACAACTAATTTGGTTTTACTGAAGTAATTCTACAAGTAAAAATTTCTCCAAAGAGAAGTTTTAGAGATAATGTAGCTTTGAAGATAGACCAATCATGAACTTCAAAATTGATTTTGTAAAAGCCACAAGGCACTGATTTAAACATTCAAAAATTGTTCCCAATATTTCCAAATTCACAGTGAAGACCTACAGTGCTAATGATCCTGAAGTGAGATCCAGCAATCAAAGAACTCGCTGTTGCTGTGTAACAAGCGTACATAATCTTGTACCCATATAAAAAAAAAATTCAAATAGTTTTTGCAGCAAGCCAAATGTTGCGATTAATCTCATGTTTGTTTTGGTTCGAGGTTTGAGGATTTTTTTTATTTTGAAATGCCTGTAGAGAAAATGTATAGTATGTGTATTCAATTCTTCTTGAACCCAGGCTGCTGAAAAAGTACACACCGTTGCGCTATATGCCAACGTTTGCAAGTTTTTTTCTTTTTAAAGAAATCATTATTTTAAACATCTTGGACTGAAATTGACAAAAACAGTCTGTATATACTTTTGAAGAAATGAAGTAATTACGAAAAAGCATTTAAGGGAATAAAAAAATCAGGGATTTGAATACACCTTTTAATACAATGCTTTTTAAACAATTAGGTTTAGTAGTTTAGCTTGGCAATCAATCAGCATCATCAATTGTTTGTTTACCCTTGTGGCAGTAGTTTTTTTTTTTTTTCTTAATGTATCATAGGTCTTTTTGGGCCTGATATCTCTTGGAATGTAATGTTTGAACTTACTTCAGATTAGGGTGTGGGCTTTTTTTAATGGAAACAAATCCTTGGGGAAACTGGAATCCGGAGTGTCTAAAAGGATTTCAGATCCAGTGCTGCCTCAGATTTCTTCACAGCTCAGATCCTGACATCACTTCAGCTGCTGAAGGCACATGTCAGCGACGTGAGACGCTCTTTAGTGGAGAGATGACACAGCTGTCAGCTCTTATTAAGTGGGTCATCTTTAGAGAAGCTGATGTCAACTAGGGGGCGACGTGGAGATTCAGGCTGTGTGTTTTTTGCAGTAGTGTGTGCGTGTGTTCATATCTCTGAGGTGACAGTGACAGCGTCTGTATGATGATGTCAGCACTTCATGTTTGTTTGTGAAATAGAGACGCAGTGACTTGCCAAAGGTGGAGTAATGAGGTTTCCCAAAGTTTGTGATCGGAGTGTTTTCATGGGCAGTTTTGGGTCGGGTTTTGCTTTCTGCAGACTAAACGTCCTCACGATGACGTGAAAAGTGATCATACATTATGGGACCCTCCCAACGGTCCCCATGGAAGCCACTTAATATGACCACCAAAATTACCAACAGTAGAGATGTATCATTTGACCCTATAACCTTAACATAATACAAAACGCATCAAATAAATGTGTTGTGCCAATTTTGGGATATTTCAGTGTGCCTTTTGAAAATGCTATCAAATGTGCATTTCCCTTTGGGCTCATATATTGCTTGTGTTCATTTGTTGATCGTTTCAGAAGGATTTGGGTTTTTAGGTACAGGATATCACACTCCTCAGGATTATGTCATCTCTGACATAACTTGACACCCTTGTGTCAGACAGACCTCTTTCAACACAGTCAGATTTGATAATCTCTATATGAATGTGTATTTACACTACCGTTCAAAAAGTTTGGGGTCAGTATGATTTTTTTTTTTGTGGGTTTTTGAAATGCATTTATTCAGCAAGGATGTGTTAAATTGATCAAAAAGTGATGGTAAGTAAATGCTGTTCTTTTGTACTTTGTTTATTAAAGAATCAAGAAAGAATCACAGTTTCCTCAAAAATATTAAGCAGCTCAACTGTTTTCAACATTGATAAAATGAAAATGAAATAAATGTTCCCTGAGCACCAAATCAGCATATTAGAATGATTTCTGAAGGATCATGTGACATTGAAGACTGGAGTGGGTGCTGAAAATTCAGCTTTGCCATCACAGGAATAAATTACATTTAATAAGTAATTGGTGTGTAAATTATATTATTTAATATAAGTAATGGCTGTGTAATATGATATTCTTTAAAGTTCTGTGTAATTGCCATTATTTGCCAAAAATATATATGGAAATAAACGGAGCAATTCCTCGCACCATCGGTGCTCAAAACCTAATTATTCAATATCATGGTATGATATAAGTACAAAAGTCTGTAAGTCTGGGAAAGGGGACAAATCAAATGCTAAGACATAAAAAGAGAAGAAAATCAAATAATATATATGTATATATATAATGATTTTAATTATTTTCCCCCTCAATGGAATTGCTGATAATTTGCAATTTTTTTTTTAGTAATAGATTTTTTTTTAAATAGAAACATTTTTCACTAGTGGTCTCGGACTTTTGTCTCAAAGATTTGACTGGCAGTCATTGTTGCTCCGATAAAGAAAATGTCTCTCTTCAGCTGTTGAAAAAGATTCTGTGACAAATCTTTGACTCTGATAAGCTGCTCAGTTTATATTTATGCATTTAAGAATTAAAGTGCTATGAATTACAAATGTTTTAAACATGTTGATGAAATTTAAAAGGTCTCAGCATCAAACATGAGGTAACGATTTCCTTTGACTTTGTGTGAACTGAAGCATTCATTATAGACGCCCATGAAATGGTTTCTGAGGGAGAAAGAGTGAGTCAAAGATTGCTTTGCTTTAGTGGCAGGATATAGACCCGTTCCTCTGAAGAGTTTTGGTTGTTAATGTGGATTCACCAGGGAATCGTGGACTAAATGATGAGCTCTGCAGCAAAGCAGCATCTTAATTGGGTTCCTGTGCCTTCGGAATGAGTTTCCTGCGCTGCCTTTTAATCAGACACGCATCAGCTATGCCCCAATATAGATAATCAGCGTAGATGTTCAGATGCAATATTTACAAGAGGATACAGGCGATAATTCTGTCTTGTGTTGGTGAGTGGCTTTGCTTCAAAAGACCTCAACATCACGCCTGTCTCTAGTGGCACGCTAGGCTTTTATTTGCAGAATGATGTTATATTTGTGAAGCTCTCAAAGCTGAAATAACACCTCGCTGAGGTGTGTTGTCAGTTTCAGTATTGACTGCCAAAAGCATTCACTGTCCTTCACAGGGAGTTGTGGGAAAATTAGGGGATCGCCAGGGATTCACATCAGCCGATTCATTGACTGCTTGGCCTCAGGGGCATTTCAAAGCGTTTTAAACTGAAATAACATGCAGTTAAATATCCGAGCATGGACATCCCTTATATACGTTTAGTAATAGTGTAGGACTAAAACTTTTAAAGCTAGTCCATTTTGATGGCTTTGTTCATTCTTTAATTTGTAGTATAGCTTAGGCCTGTTGTTTTCAAGTTATGAGAACCCATATTTTAGAGAAATTAAAATCTCACATCTGCCAAATTGAACCTGGCATATAGACAAAACATGTTAGAACCTATGTTCTATACAGTTTGCTCTCCTTATTTGACTGAGTGCGATCAGCTTTTTTGCATACCAAGATGTTCCTGAAGGTATTGATTCGCTACATTTTGATGCATGAACGCAAGATTTTAACGACCATTTCAAACTGTTCCGCACACAGCTGTTATATGACTTTACGAGAGAAGTTGAATGGACAATTTAATTGTAACTTGTTGTCCTTTTTGAGAGACTAGTTGTGACAATCATCACAAACCAGCTCCTTTTGTGTTCCACAATTTTTAATTATTCCTTCAGTAGCACTTAACAGCAGTATTGTTCAAAATCAACGTTTATATGTCTGTGGTGTTTTTAATGTTTTAAGACAAACCATGTGCAAATTCATAAGTACTCACCATTGCTGAGTATTTTCTCCTTAAATCTGCAATGGAAAAAAAAGAGTCAAACGCGGTTTGAAATTGGCGGTGTTTCTTGCGTCACAAAGTATCTTGTAACCAATCATGTTAATGTGCCGGTGGGCTTTAGCATATCATCATAACTATGCTGCGAAGCACTGGAGTCTCAAGAAAAGCCAGGTTCCCAGTCTCTCATTTTTGGTTACTTTTGTGTTGTGATAAATACTTTATTTGGAACACGCTAGTCATTGTCCATCTCTTATGTTTTGTGTTCCTTGACTCCTAAACATTTATGTTAGGGACCGTAACACTGGTATATTTTTCTGTTGATATGAAACATTGGGTACATTCAGCAATATAGCGGGTGAATTGTGTATATGATGTATATATTATGATGTTATGATGAACTATGCCTTTCTCCACTGATGTTGTGAGTTGTTCAAAGCATTTCTAAAGCCCTATTTGGATGGGATTAGTTTTCCAGGGGGTCGTTAGAACTTGGCAGATTTGGACGGGATTAAAATTGCAAAGTCTTTGTTTTTCTCACAAAACCTCTGTAAATATTCCAGCGCAAATTACCTTCTGTTTTTTGGCAAACTCAATGGTCATCTGAAAAATCTAATCCCGTCCGAATGCTAAAGTCTGTGATTGCTGATGTTGTATTATCCTAACGCTTCTCCTCGTGTTTTTGACCTACCTGAGCTACCGTCTGCACACCAATCTTCAGCATGCTTTAATTTAGTTTCAATATGGATGGTGTCCGACGAAATAACACATACAATTAATAAATTGAGCCAAATCGTGGAAACTGTGAAGACTTCCCATTTGAATATCAGTGTCGGGTAAAAGTAGGATACTTGTCTAGATTTCTCTGCTCACTTATTTATTATAAACAGCCACTGCTATAAACGTGTGAAGTTTTCTTAAATGTTTTAAAATCATCTCAACTAATAATAGAGTAAAAAAACATATACTGTACGTGACGCGCACACAGCACATGACCATCTGTAACGGCCAAAACACACACTCTCACTTCTGCAATAAACACGGAGATGTTAGTCCCATCCGAATCAGTACATGAAATCACAGACGTAAAGTGATAAGAATTGTAACTCAAACGTCGTTTAGAAAA